GGGGTAAGCTAGTATCTGTGTCTATGGAAAATTTATTTTACAAATAAAGTGTTCAAATATTACCAGTTTTTAAAGGCAACACTAGATGGCAGTAAATGCACAAAAATTGTGATGCCATCGTTCTCAGAATACAGCAATGATTATTTTTCCTTTACTCAATTTCACACTGCAATAATTCAAGCTTTTAAAAAAATGGGGCGGGGGGAGGAGGAAAACAAGAAGAAAGATTAAAGAAAACCTAAGTAAAAAGTTCAAATTGCTTGGCTTTCCACAGCTGTAGGCAAGTGCCTAGGTTGTCGTGTACCTAGGCAAGTGTTAACTCCTCTACTGGTTAATGCCAAAGCTGTGTTAACTATATCAGTGTGCCAGCATTGCTACATATTCTATTTAGAAAAAGATGTGGGAAGGTGCAGCACGCTGGGCTGCCGACACGCCACCCTGGCTCCTAGAAATGCCGTGCAGCTGCACGGATGGGGTCGGGGAATAAGGAGCTGCAGATTGCCCAGCGAGGAGGGTCCGGGGTTGTGTTGGCGCAGGGGCTGCTGAGGGCATGCTTAACAGGTGAGGAGTGATGAAGGACATGAACAGACATTTTCCAAAAGAACAAATTCAAATGGCTAATAGAAATAGGGAAAAAATGCTCAGGCTCCTTGGCTGTCAGAGAAATACAGCAAAAACCACATTGACATTATACCTATCTCCAGTGAGATTGGCCTACATTCAGAATTCTACTAACACCACCTGCTGGCGTGGATGTAGGGAGACATACCCTACTTCACTGCTGGTGAAAGTGTAGCCTAGTATAGCCATTACGGAAATCAGTATGGACAGTGCTAAGACAACTGAAAACTGATATACCACATGACCCAGCTATCCCACTTCTAGGAACATGACCAAAGGAAACGAATTCTGTATATGAGAAAGTGACCTGTAATGCTATATTTACAGCAGCACAATCTACAATAGCAAAGACATGGAGTCATCCCAGATGCCTGTTGAAAGAGGAATGGATAAAGAAACTGTGGTACCTCTACTCTAGAATACTAGTCAGCTATTTTAAAGAATTAAATTCTACCATTTGCAACAACATGGACCCAACTAGAGACCATTACATTCAGTAAAATAAACCAATCCCAAAAGGACAAACATATGTTCTCTTTGATATAAGGCAATATTCATGCAAAATACAAGATCAATAGATATATAAGTAAACATGTATGAACACATATATATCTAGAGGAACTGTCATGGAGACCAACACACTGAGAAGGGAAGACACACTGCAGTGTGCATCTCTACTCCCAAATAAAAGATGGACTCCCAAGGAAACCGTTAAACAGCTCTTGACAACAGGATGCTGGACTCTACCATTGTCTATGTCTTACAATGTCAGGACACATGTCAACAGAAAAATGATGGACTTGTGACTATTGCTGAAGGTCTACCTCACTGTAATAACAAAGGGGGAAGCAATGATGGGAGGTAATAAAATAGTTCACAATCTTACTGGTATTTTTGCCAGTGGATTAATGTTAGCTTGGAAATACTTTTCTCCTACTATTCATTTTTTTTTTAAAAAAAGAAAAGATTTATTCATTCAAATTGCAAGTGAGTACTACAGAGAAGAGAGGAGAGGAGAGGGGAGGGGAGGATTTTGCTTTACCTCATGCATCCCAGACTGAGTGTCATTGAAGCTAGTAACTCATAAATGCTAGCGGGAGAAAAAAAATCCCAAGAGAGATCAGCTTTCCCTAGCCCAGGACATGGTCTGCCTAGCAAAACTGACATTTTACACAATGCTACTCTCTTCCTGCCAAACACCATGGGGGGCGGGGCCAGGCTGGGGGAAAGTGTCCTATGCCATCCATGGCAGTAAATTCCCAGATAACAACCTATTACTTACTTACTCCAGTATAATGGGGGCTATCCCTGCCCGGGAAGGCTGAGCACACCCAGCTTCTGCTCCCCACTCAATGTTCACATCAACAGTGATGACAAATGGGGAGCCCAATAAACACTTTTTCCATCTATGTTAGTTGTGACAGATACTACAGCACGACAGGTGTCCCAGTACAGAGCTGCCTCACACACAGGGGACAGAGGGACCAAGAGCTTCACGGCAAGCACAGCACCATCAGTGTTGTGGCTATGACACTGCGCTGCAGTGAGGCGAGATGTGACCTTCAGGCAGACCGGGGGATGGACACTTGGGGTCTCTTCTACCTTCCAACTTTTGGGAGTTGCAACCACTCCAAAACAAAAAATATAAGTAAAACCTAAATCACATTTACAGACTGACAATTTCAACTGTCTATACCGACCCCAGAGTTTTTCCTTAAATGATTTTTGAGATGTCTCTCCTTTAAAGATCTAGTTTAGAAGGCAGTAGGATAAGTGTTTTAATACTATGTGAACACAAATTTAAACACAGAGAATTAAGAAGGCAAAAACGAATGCCCTCAGAATTTGCACAAAGTAAATCCATAACCATTGGATAGGCAAAATCAGCCCGCAATGCATGGAAGTGGCCATTTGTAGCCCCTGGGCCAGCATACCTCCCAAATTAAAACAGGAACCAGCCTCTGAGTAGTCAAGGTATCACCAAACACACAAGTGCAATAGCCTCACCAATCATTCTTCCAGGAAGTTAAGACATGCCGACTGAGATCTAGAGAAAGCGAACCTGGCATTGGGGTTTTTGTGTATTGCTTTGACATGGAAACAACCCAGATGCCTGTCCAAAGAGGAACGGATAAAGAAACTGTGGTACATCTACTTAATGGAATTCTATTCTGCCATTAAAACAATGGTCCCAACTAGAGACCATAATACTCAGTGAAAGAAATCAATCACAAAGGGACAAATACCGTATGTTCTGATATAAGGCAACCTTCATACAAATTATAAGATCCATAACACCTCTGACACTGTTTTGGCTGAAACCCAGAGGTTTGATATTTCTGCTTTTATTTATATTTCTTCAGAATAGTTTCTTTTCTCCTGTTAAATTCTTCACTGACTCATAGATCACACAGTAGCATCACTTCATCCAAGGTTTTTGTTTTCTTTTTCACTTTATTAACACATTGGTTATTCAGGAGCATGTTTTTTTTTTTAACTTTCTTCCTATTTTTGATTTTGTTTTATGGCTTCTCATTTAAGGGAATGTATGGAATCTGTTTAATAGAGACTATTATATCCAGTTGTGAAAATACAATGCAGTATGCACCTTGACTTCCAAATCAAATAGGCTCCCAATGAAACTGTTTGATATATCTTGACAATAGGACGCTAGATTCTCTGCCAGTGTCTGTACCTGCACTGTCATGATACACTTAGATAGCAAAATGATGGACTTGTGACTGCTTATGAAGGACTGTACTATTGTAATAATATGGGGGAAATCAGTTCCGGGGAGGGAATTTGGGGAGGGTAAAAGCAAAATCCCAGAGCCTATGGAATTATATCATAAAATTAAAAATAAAATAGAAGGGAGGAAAAAAAAAAAGTAAAGGCAAAGCTAAGCAGCAGGTGGTACCTGTTTGCCTCAACCCCTCCCCCAGCAAGACGTGCTGCACAGCACAGCACAGCACAGCTCAACCCTTCCCACAGCTGCCTGCAGAGGCCGAGATCTGCTGCACAGCACAGCACAGCACACCTCTGCTCTGTTCAGGGCAGCGGCGAGGGGGTTTTCAGGCTCTGTCTCTCACAGCTTTTAAACTTCCCTTGCTCTTGCTCTCAGTTTACCAGGAAATGGCCTGAGCACTGGTCCCACCTGTTCTTTAACACCAGTGCAGAGGTCACTGGACAAGTACCTCTTTGCAAACTACCTCACATTTTGCTCAGTTTCTCCTGAGTCTCAGAAGTTTTAAGTTAGTACCAAAAGATTTAGAAACTCTGAATGCATTGGTTAAAAAAAAGTAAGCTTCAAACGCTGCAAAATTGGGGTTATATCCTAAATCAGGCAGGCATGCAATGAGCCTCACCAGCTGGCTTCTTGCTGCCTTGTTCTCACACTGCTTCAGGCAGTAAGTCAGCCTTGCACATAGTACTTAATCCTTTTCAAGTCACAAAATTCAAACAGATCCACTGTCATCTTCCAGGGCCATTGTCTTTCCCCTCCTACTCGCTGCTGTCAAAAATAATTCTCCAAGACGCACAGCCTGCATACAGCATCTAGCATGATCACGGATTCCTACCAACTACGATAAAAGTACGAAATTTGAAGCAACATATAACGAGTTCTCCCCAGCCCAAACTGGAAATGCAAGTTACACGTTTCATTTCCTCCATTCGGTCCTAAGGCCTTTGGCATGAGCGTGACACACCACTCCACAATCCTACTGAATTCACCTTTAAGAAACTTCTACAACCATTCCACTTTTAAGGTATCTGATGATGAAAGGCCACAACATTCTGACAAGGATATCACTAGCAGAAAACCAAATTCATGCAAATTCTCCCATTTGCATCCGCTGAGTGCTTTATTTTCAAGACGCCATAGGATCTCACATTCCAAAACATGGTAAATAAAAGGAAAAGCTGAGACGTACACAACTAGCCTCTTTGTACATTGTGTGAAATGAGGTGTAGTCCTACAATTATACAGTAGAGTTAGAGAGTACGCGCAATGAATTTCATACCTCTGGACAGTGACACACATTCAAAAAAGCAGTTCTTGGCATTTGTGACATTGTGGTATTTCCTTGGAAAAGACTAAGAATATGTGCTAAATTCATAGCATATAGCTACTCCATACCGAACAGGTACACACAACAGCTGGAAAAGTCATTTCCTGTTTGCATCACTGCATCCTGGGTAATAACAAGGCAGGCACAGCCCAAATCCTCATGACTTCATTAGCTGAGCTGCTCTGCTTTCTCAGCAGTGTGTGCACATTCCCGAGCTGTCAGTCAGACACAGGCAGGGACAGGTCTGCCTCAGGACAACAGGGCATCTGATGTAGGTGTTACTTAGAACAGGCATAAAGTTTCACTTACCTCCACTGCTACCACGATCAAAATGAGGTCTGCCTTTGACTCAGGAAAGAGGGCATTCACTTGTGGTGACATTCCAATCAGCGCACAGTTAGTGACCACAGATATAACACTCATTGTCTCAAAAGCCAACTGAAAGGAAAATAAACAAACAAAATGTGAATTAAGAGCCGCAATGACCACTTTGCTACTTCCTCTTCCCTTTTCCTAATATCTAGAATCAAGACAGATGTCGTTACTCTAGTTCAAGCACATCTTCAACTTTGGTCTCTTGCGCCATGGACTCCAGCTGTCTTTCCAGATGGCAGCAGCAGGGACCAGAATGCAGGACCTGTCCAGCACACTGTTACTCTGCTCCACTCACAGGTAAGGGGAATTCTGAAGGGGGCCCAGAGTTTCACATTCAAGTATCAGTTACTAACAGTAGTGTCCTGCCTGCAGAACTCAGGGAAAGTCAAGTGCCACCCCCCACCCCCACTGAGACACAGCAAACGGCATGGGGCCACAAGGACACCGCTGAGCATGGAGGCCAAGCACAATGATCCTGACTCCTCTGTCTCCTTTTGTCCCCAGTGGAAAGCACTGATAACTAACTTCTCGATAATTTAGCCACTAATCACTAGAAACGCAAAATCTTTATTTCCATTATATGTTCAAATGGCTGCATAATGAGACTATTTATTTCCATATGTTAAGTTTGTGAGTTATTATATTTTTTTATAGCGATTTTCCATTGATTCTCTTGAATTTTCCCCAAAGAAACACTTCCTCCAACCACACTTGGTTCTCTTCCTTCCAGCTTTTTATACTCAGAATTCTTACTTTCATCTACTCCAGTGGTGGGTTTCATGGTTATATCATCTCTTCTTAGTCTTGTGAGTTTTATCATCTGTTCCTGATGTTTTGGAAGAACCAGTTCATTGTCCCATGGATGTTTCCCATGATTTTTCCATTTTCAACTCACTGATTTCTACTGTTCCTGCTTACTGTGGGTTTATCTTGATCCTCTTTTTTTAGTTTCTTAACTAAATAATCTGACTGAGGTTGTTCCCTTTATTCCCTATGGGCATTTTGAATCTATGACTTTACAACTCTTGTCAAATTTGAAAATTACTTGGCCATTGTTTTAACTACATGTGTGGGCCCTCCCTTTCTCCTTTTCTTCTATAACTCCAGTGACAAAAATGTTAGCTCTTCAGTTATACGCATCCAGCTGGTGTCTACGGCCATACCACCCGAACGCACCTGATCTTATACACATCCAGTGCCTGGTTCCTGATTCTCTTCTCCATCCCTTCCATTCTACTGCTGGGCCCATCCACCAGGCTGATGTCAGTTACTGTCTTTGTCACGTCTATGTCCATGTGATTCTCCACTGTATCTTCTATTTATTCACTAACACATTCTAATTCCCTGTTGCTCACTTTCTCTGAGTATGTTCACAATTACTTGTTAAGGAATCTCTACATTGCTTTGAATTTTTTGTTCAGGGACTGGTGTTGTGGCATAGTGCATAAAGCCACCACCTGCAATGCCAGACTGCCATCTGGCAGTCTGAGGCCTGACAGTTCCATTTCCAATCAAGCTTCTTGTTCATACGCCTGGGAAAGCAGCTAAGATCCAGATGAAACTCCTGGCTTCAGACAGACCCAACTCTGGCTGCTGTAGTCATCTGGGGAGTAAACCAGTGGATGGAAGGTCTTGGTCTCTCCCACTCTCTGTAACTCTGCCTTTCAAATAAATAAATCTTTATTAAAAAAAAAACAGCAACACAATAAAATAATTTTTCCATACCTCTGCATATATGTCATATTGATGGTAGATTCTGTTGATTGTGTTTTTCTCATTCAGTTTGGTTCTTTGTGTAAGTGATTTGTTCTTACAGTAGCATGCATATTTGGGGGTGTTGGAAGACTATTCCAACTGGGATAGCTCCAGCCGGGGAAGTAATATCTTACACTACCAGGTGGCAGAAGTTCAGGATCCCCACTTGGACAGCCCTGGTACCCCAAGTTACAAGATCCTCACAGCTGCTGCTGCATAGGTGAGCATTCTGGCTTTTCCCCATACCACCACTGGTGCGACCTCTGCTGGGAGCAGCATGGCACCCCAGGGTGTTCCCACACACTCTGCACTGTGCAAGCTGTGGCCAAAAGCCATCTGGGGAGTGAACTGAACAGAAGATCTCTCAGTCTCTCTCACACACTTTCTCTCTCTGCCTACCAGAGGATGAAAGCTCGCTCGCTCGCTTGATCTCCATATAACTCCTTCAAGTAAAACAACACAGATCTTAAAAAAAAAATAACAATAATTACCTGCCATACACCAATATTGGCCGAAGGTTCTGCGAATGGACGTTTGAAGACCCTGCACATCTTTAAGGCATCTGAATTGATTTCAGTGAAGTTATTCAACACAGCAAAGGCAGCTGCTAACGGGTAAACACAGGAGAAAAGACTCACATAACCAAACTGCAGAAATAACTCCAGGTAGTCATCGAAGGTTCCCTGGAAATGGAAAGGACAGAAAAGCAGACACGGTTTGATGCCATGCTGGCTTCTAATTTTGTTAATTAAAAAAAAAAAAACGCTGGAACTTCCTCCAATTATTTTCTTTCAACCACAGAATTTATTTAAAACAAATTTCACAGCAAGTCTCTGAAATAAAATAATTTAGTAGCTCATTTCTGTGTGCCACATCATTAAAGGATTACATGCTTTCTACACAACAGAGAAGTTGGTTTGCTCTTGCTCAACTGAAACACCTGACCCAGTATCACTCGGAGATCTTTCACAGCAGGGCCCTCCTATAAGTTCCTGAGTTCCCCTCCAATGGCGGAATACTGATTATCCAAACTTCATGCCAACATAAAAGCACCAATAACAAAAAGCAGTCAGCAAAATTTGGCAGAACTAACTCTTTGGGTACTCTGAAAACCATACAAAGACTTGGTTGTAACCCAAACAGCATTTAGTCAAGAAAGCTGCCTAATCTTACAGCACTGCTAACTTAACTTTACCATGACTCCCTGCTCTCCAGCAACCTTGAGAATAATAGCTACATACGCCAAGTACCAGAAGGAACAGAGCAGGGACCTTCTGAAAGCCTCACCCCAAAGAACAGTCAGCATCAGGCCTGGCCAGTAGTGTCTGCAAGAGCCCATGCCAAAAGCTTATTTTTATTCAGTTTCACAGAGTGTCTCCTGGTGCTAAACATTTCTCCCCAGTGGTGTTGGTCAAGTGCTCAAGATCATGACTACATGGAGTGATGGGTACCAGGTGCAGCAGACAATGAACCAACCAAGGAACTCCAAGGACAAACAGAAAGAATAAGATGTTCAAAGGTGATCTGAAAAGCTCCAGCATTCTCCTGGAATCTACCAAACCTGGCACATGCTCAGGAAAGCCAAGCAGCATTCAGGAAGTGAATGCCAAGGCAGAGCTGAAAGCTTTCCGGATGAATGCTGTGCCCTAACACAAAAACAAAGACCTAACCAATGTACCAAACACTTGGCACAACTGCAGAAGGCAATCAAATGTACACAGTATGTTCTCCAAAACAGATGATGCATTAAGCCATAAAATTTTTTAAAAAAATCCTGTCCATAATGTAAAAAAGTTAGAAATTAGTAAGAAGTAAATGTGGGAAACTCAAGTATCTGGAAACTGAACAACATATTCAAAAACAACAACAAATGAGTCAAAAAATAAATCCTAAAGGAAATTGGAAAACACTGTAAGAAAAATGGATATAAAATACAGCATACCAAAACTATGAGATGTTATAAAAGTAGTGGTCAACAGGGAATTTATAGCTGTAAATGTCCATATTTTTTTTCTAAAAAAAAAAAAAAAAAGAGAGAGAGATCTCAGGGCCAACTTTATGGGACAAAAGGAAACTTCTCTGAAGTAGGATAGCTGCAGATTGCTGACTGATGGATCACCTCGGTCACCATCCTCTCAACAGGACACTGTCCTTCTACTTAGAGGCCACACTGAGCCCTGTGGGTGACAGCAGCTCCTCTTTCCTGTCTTGAGAAGGAACAGGGATGAAATGACAGAGTCAGCTCTCCTGGGGCCTAAGGCCATGCCCACACCATGACCTAGGGCTTATTCAGTTCCTAGCATCCTCAGGCCTTTTGTGGTCAACCAGAGCATGTGCAATGCTAATTTTAGTCTAAGAAAAACACTCATTGCAATACTTCAAAGCAGCATTAAGTGCTAATACGTTAAAGTTAGGAAGTGTATTTGTTACCTGCCTCTCTGAATCAATCTCTCATCAAGATAGCACACTAGGCTCGGTAGTTCAGAGCTTTTGTGTCATATCCCACATGTCTGCTCAGTCAGCAGCATTGCATGTTTTTATTTTACTAAACCAGAACTCTCAAACACAGTAAAAGCATTTTAGAAAGGAGGAAGTACCTCTGGTAGGCTCTGGCTATCTGACCAGCTCAGAAGTCACACACCCTCAGCCCAGGAGACCTCAAGGAATGACCCCTTGGAATGGGGGAATTACAGAGGGTTTCTTTTTCCTGACTGACTCTGCCCTGAATTTTCCAAGTTTTCTATACATTTATCATCGTGTCTATTAAGTTTCAACCAAATTGTTTTTCCCCCAAGCTTGGCAACATTATTTCAGACTCATACATAAAAGTCAGGATGGGATTACAGAAATGCAATTCTAAAATCACTGACTTCACTGAGGAAAAAAGGCAAGCAGAGGAAGGATTAGTTCACAGGAAACAGTCATCTGGAACAAACATCATCCCAAAGCTTTTCCCCCTCTGAACATGTGAAATGAGCTGAACAAGCAAGCACCGAATGCCATTCCATGGCAGAGTCTCGGAGGGGGATCGTGCAAATGATGGGGAGCTGCACCTGAGTCAGGGAAGAGGGGTTCAGTGAGACCCCGAGCACAGGCACACGCCCAGGCCCTGCAAAGGAAACTGGCTAAGTTTCTAGCACTTCATGTCAGACAGCCTGCACTGGACAACAGAAACATTCTGAATTGGAAAGGCAAAATCTTGAACCTTGCTCCTGATTTAGTCACCAAGGAATTATGACTTGGGAGCACCAGAAGCCTGTCGCAACATAGGAAAAGCCACACCTCCCTCAACAGCGTCCCTCATGAAGAGACTCTTAGATGCAGCACTTGTTGGATTCATCAGAATTGCTGAGGAGATGGGAACGTTGCTTGCATGACTGTATTCCATTCCCTGGCCCAGGAGAACCCACCTGAAGAAGACTAAGAGTTTGGTCTGGGTCACGTTAGGGGATGATGTTGTTCTTCCAATTTTAGGGAAGCTGCAGAGCTGAAAGCAGAGCTATGTGACTGTTGGAGAAGCAGGAGTCTGAAGACAACATGATGGTCATTACTGCTCAGAGCTGCGAGGGACAGGAGGGGGACAGGACACAAACAGCAATGGAAGTGAGGGTCGGCCTGGTCTGGCAAGCTGCTGTCAGCTAGGATACCTTACCAAGGGGATGCATGAGCTACACAGCAGCACCAGGCTCTGACTCCAAGATAAGCCTGTCTGTCCCACCGAGAGGTCATGGAATGAAGAGCAGGGCAGACTGCTGCTTCTGGTTCTAGAATGCAGAGATTAAAATCTGGTCCAAAATGCCACTTCCCAACCCCAGCAAGAAAAGGAAAGGGTTCTGTTATGAGATGAACTACACTGAGTTCTTAAACCATATTAAGCATGTACTAGAGCAATTTAGAATGGACAGCTGGCCCATGCACTTCTTTCTTCGGAGAGTCGGAGAGTGGTGTGTGTGTGTGTGTGTGTGTTACTGTGTGTATTTTTGAACTGCTTCATATATACACATTAACAGTGTTGCTCTTCACGATGTGTTGTGAGTTTGTATTATGAATCATCTTTTCCTTCAAACAGCCAGAACAGAAAACACTGGTGCATGTCTGCATAACCTGATCAAAAGATACATAAACACTCAGAAACAAAAAAGACAGCTGCGTAGGCCATGAGCATCAGAAAAACCACAAATCAAGCTTCCTTCAGCGTCAACGACATGAGCCTCAAGGGAACCAACTCCCCAAGCACGGACCAGCTAAGCTGCCAGCATCTGTACCCCGAGGCACAGAAGAACCAAGGACAACTACCCACTCCCCTGGGTGTAATCAAGATCAGGCTGAGCAAAGCCAAGGCTGAGTCAATGCTCTCTGCCCTAGAAAGCAAGCTGGAAAAAACCACATGCACAGCCCAGAACTTCCATGGACAACATGCTACCGATTCTGTCAGCATTCCCACTGTCACCACAAGGAGGGTGCTCTGGGCCACAAACTGCTGGCTAGCTCTAGACCAGGGACTTGGAGCAGCCACATCACATCACATCACATCACATCAATAACAAAATGATGCGGGGGAAAAAAGCCAAGGAGGAGGACAAACTCCTGCTAACAATGTAAGTGCAAGCTAAAATTGGGAAATCATGAAAATCAACAAAGATACTAGAGATCAGGAGAATTCCGAGTGAAAAGCAGGATTCTAGAAGTTTAACGATAATATGCAGTCACTGAAGGAGCCTCCAAAGGCCTATTTTGCCAATAGCAAGAATAACATCCCAGGAAGGAAGCTGCAGTGTGTAAGAAAGGACAAACTAGAGCAAACGTGAACTCAACAGGCTGCCATCCCTGAAAGAGCAGGCTAGAATGTCGTCAGAGCTGGACAAGTTGTACTGGGCACACAGTGAGGTTTTTATGAGCTAGGTTTTTTAATATTACCAGCAACTAAATTCCCAATAATCTGCTGATAGCTCCTAAAAGCAACTCAGAAATGCCTGTCTTAAGAAAAAAAAAAAAAACTCCTTTATATTTGCACAATGGCACTAATGAAAATTTTAAAAAAAGATAATCTTCAGAACTGCCTTTTGTTCTGTGGTGACGGTGAGCACGTTCTGAGCGTGTGAAGCATCAGGAGCGAGCAGCAGTGTTGCCTCCCCTGGGACGGCTGCCCTCGCCCCTGCTCGGGATGGGGTCTCTGAAGCAGCCCCTCACACTGCGTCTCCGTCTCCGCAGGGCAGTCCCACAGTTCTCTGCACTCGCTCCTTGGTGGTGTCACAAGAGAAGGGTTTCACCAGAGCAGCATTCCAGTGCACAGAGCCTCCATGTTAACCCTAAGGTTAGGGTTCATGGCGTGGACACCTTCTCAGAGGCACAAATGAGACAGTCACACCTGAGCCGGGTAAGTGTTTGATGAACATCTGTTGAATTGGGGGCATAACTGTGCATCACTTTTGGTCAAACATTTAACCCAGCAGTAGTCCAACTTACCAGGTAAGTCCCCATGTCCTTCTCTAGGATGACTTGTTCATACAAGGGAGCATCGATGTCTGCCTTTAGCGCCTGCACCTTCCTCTTGAGCTGCACCCCGTGTTTCCTTTGCAGCCAGTAAGGAAGAAGGGATTCCACAATCTGGTTAAGGATCTGAGAGGTAATCAGGAGAGTAGCCAAACTCTGGAAAGAGAAGCACACTGAATCACACGTGGCAGCAGAGCTTGCGGAAACCATCACACGTGCACAGTGACACAACGATTAAGAGGGAATCTTCAGCAGATAATGTACTATTGGGTTATTTAAAAAAAAAAAAACAGTATTGGAGAAGTTGATACGGAATGGTGCTTCCAATGCATGACTTTTCACAGGAAAGTCTTGACCTAAACCACAAATCAGATGCCAATAAGAAACAAACAGTCAAGAGTTGACAAGAAAATGGAAAATCACTTGAAATTGTACACCTGTCATCTCGAGCTGATTGCAACAGAAATCTAAAGGGGGGGGGTGCCAACTTTGAAAAAAGGAGTTTGACTAAAACTTCAAGAAACTAAATCTTAAACATTCTCCCTTATTGTAGAGAAGAAACGAACCATGATGCACTGCAGAACATCTTAGGCTTGTTTCTTTCTAATCACACATAAAAACAAAATTACAATTGCTTTACACATGTACAGTTCTTTATTGCTTTTCTTGTCCAATATATTTTGAGCATTATCCCAGGAAGACAATAATTATTTTGGGGTTGGCCCATACAGTGCTGCTAAATGTATACATTTCCAACTTTCATTATTAGAAATGTTGCTGCTTGGGTATCCACGAGCATGAATCTTTATTCCACTTTTGATCATGTCCTAGGGAAGAGCAAAGGCTGTTGGCAAAGCCACCCATGACTCCCATTGATTGCTGTGTCAGTTTCTGTTTTCCCATATCAATTCAGATGTTTTCATCACATACTACCTTTGCTTACATCTCGTTTCATTATTAATTTTTAAATTTTTTTCTATTTTTCTTTGCTTGTTTGTTTGTTTATCAGAGGAGAGCGCGAACACAGTACCCCACTACCACAAACTATGCAGTCGAGTTTCCCACATTTGGGGAAATCGCAGGGTCAGCACACCCAGAGTGCAATGGGTCAGCACACCCAGAGTGCAATGGGTGAGCCTCGCCCTGGGAAAACCACCTTCGTGATCATGGTATCTCCCCACCAGGTAAGTATTATTATGGATTTTTAAAAAGAGAACACCAGTCCCCTGGCCTTTATTAAATAAAGATGATTCTCCCAAGGGTAAGAAATGAGAAGTTAAGGTGGGCATTGGTGTAGCAAACGCTGCATGTGCCATCTGAATTACACATCAAAGTGAAACCTTGATTCCACTTCAGGTTCCAGCTTCCTAGCAGGTGGTGGCTTTGCCATCCACATGGGAGTCCTGAACAGAGCCCCTGGCTCCTGAGACTGGCCACTGTGGTTATTAAGGAATGAATAGCAGGTGGGATTTCTCTCTCTCTCTCTCTCTGCCTGACAAAATCTAAAAAGAAAAAAAAATGAGAATTCATAGTCTGCTAATACTTGCATACATGCGATCAGAGAAGGAATATATTTTTATTAACTTCAAATGCTTTATTTTGAGCTGTTTCCAAAATTATTTCTTAGAAAGCAGCAATTTATCTAGCGCAGTTGTTAAAAGCACAACATTTAATCTTACTTCTATGCAAGCTTTAGGACAATTACAAAGTCTTTTAATCTCCCCTGATTGTACAAATGTTTGAACTTCCTAAAGGCTTGGCCCAGGCTCTCTTATAAATACTACAAAAAGCCTAGGCTTCGAAAAGCTGTTCACTAACAACCTCAGAATACTAAAATCAAAAAATATATAGTTCTTTACTGATATCTGGCTCAAGCATAAAAAAGAATAACTTAGAAACCCATAATTAATTCTCCGTGCAGTATTCACTGGTATTATGTGATTCAGAAATGGTAACATACTTAAATAAGTATGAGAGGTCAAACATTTCATAGAAGATGCAACACTGCATAAGATGCCCTGGCTTCTAAAGTCAACGGCCCATTCATGTAAAAATGAAATCTGTTAACATGTTTAAGGTTATACCAATTACTGTCCTGACCAAGATACAAAAGTACCAAATTCAACTAAATGCATGTTTTTTGTCAATTGTTTTGACAATTTTTTAAGTAAACTATATGACTGAATTTACTACCCCACATGATGGATTTTTTGAGTTGATTAAGTTAAATTCATTTCTTTTCAATTGAGTATGACACTCAACTGAAACTGTTAATTTCTTTTAAATTTAGAATTGGGATTAGAAACATACAATTTTAGGGGTCAGTGTAGTAGCATAGCAAATTAAACCTTCACCAAAAAGCCCTGGCCTCCCATATGGGCGCCGGTTCAAATCCCAGCTGCTCCACTTCTGATCTGGCACCCTGCTAATGGTTTGGGAACGCACCCATGTGGGAGACCTGGAGAAAGCTCCTGGCTTCAGACCAGCCCAGCTCAGGACGTTGCAGCATTTTGGGAATGAACCATTGGATGTAATATCTTTGTCTCTGTCTCTGAATCACTACCTTTTAAACAAAATTAATCTTTACGTGTATGTGTGTGTGTATATACATTTTTGAAAGATTGCATTTGTAAAACACTGCAGTTTTAAGAAGAATTACATTTACTGGAATGTAAGGAACCACATTAAGATGTAAAAGCAATGCTTGATACTCACTTGGCGTAAAAGCTTCATATCCTTCAGGACAAAGGCGATGTAGAAGAGCGAAGCAAAGCAATTTAGAAAGTTGAACTGTGGAAAAAGACAGCAAGGTGAAACACTACAGCACAAGGCTTTACTGCCATTAGAGGCACAGCACTGAAATATCATCAGGGAAGCCCAGTGTGCATGGGCCACCCAACTAGGTAACCCTGGACACACAATTAAGGCATACCTCAGACAGGTGCTAAGAGGAAGATCCCAGGATGGAGGGAACACACAGCACCAGTGCATCTTCAGCTCCACGCTCCCAACACAAGAGGGACACCGAGACCTCACATTCCCCAGTCCTACCCTAGCAACCCAAGGAACCCAGGCGGATTCACTCCTCCCCTGCACAACCAGCCAGGGATCATGAATCAGGAACCCCACCATCAATCAGCCTCATGGGAAATCTCCTCCTCCTCCTCTAGGCCTGAGACACCCCTGGAAAGGGCCAGGCAGTCAGGCAAGAGGGTTCCACTGCCACAGCAGCCCTGCCCTGGGACCCTCTTTGTCCCCAGTCCTAAGACTTTTCCCCATACTCAAGACACAGTGGGGGCAGCTGGGCAGCACAGTCAAAGGGACCCACGACAACTAGGGACCCACCAGAGAGCCTCTCTGTGCCCATGGGCCTTATACAGAGACACACTCAAGAATGCAGGAGGTACTAGCAAGAGGCCTGGCTGGGGAAGCATGCCTGGACCAGAGGCATGACCTCTCCTGGTCTGCCAGATGCAGGTGTGTGGGCCAGCCCGTCAGGAAGAGTCTGCCACAAACTGCCTGCTTTCGTGGAGTAGCTCTCCTGCTCCAGAACTTGTAACTAACCTGGCACTGGTTTCCTTGTGCCTCCAGCATCGCTGGCCCAGAGAAAGGCGGTCATGTGTGCCAGAGGGAGCAGGTAACACATGAGGACTTGGGGAGTCACTCGAAACTGAGCCACAGCAAGACCATCACGGTCCCTGGATGGCTGTACTAAGTCAAAGCAGAAGTGGAAAAGCCAAAGCTGGGAAGGCTGGAAAACACCATCCCAGAAGATCAAGGAGGAAGAACAGGTCAACTGCCAGGTCTGTTTCCAAGGCAGTGCCCTACACTTTACCTGGTGCTTTTGGAGAATAATGTCTTACAAATCACTGGATGCCAGAAAATCTCCCGTGTATAATCTTTCTCAACAATCCCATTCACACCGCAGGTTCAAGCGCTTCTGGACAAGGAGAACCCCTAACCCTGGCACTGAGTCTGTACCTGCATCTCAAACATCGGGTCTTGCGCAGAGCACACGAGGCTCTGAGCTTAGAGGACTTGTTGTGGAGCCAAGGGCTGGAGACCAGGCTGTTTCTAAGTGAGGGTCTGGAGCCTGCTCTCAGGAGTAAAGAACATGAACTGTGTTCCATCAGATTGGCTGGAAGCACCACGCGGACTCCACACACTCAGACACGTGACCCAGGGTGAAGCAAAGCCCCTGACAACAGCTGGTCACTGCTTTATTATTTGTAGCAACAGTGGGAAGGGCATGTGAGCTTTGACACGGACGGTCAACAGCTGGTCACTGCTTTATTATTTGTAACAACAGTGGGAAGGGCATGTGAGCTTTGACACGGTCAACAGCCTACACCGTGCTCTCTTTCTGCCCTCTTCTTCCCACCCAGCAGAACATGACAGAAACCCTGAGGGCCTCGGAAACTTTTCTAAAAAGTGGTGCCATTTTTTATCTAACCAGAGGAGTGGGCACTTGGTACAGAGGTTAAGATGCCCTCGACTGCCTGGGTTTGACTCCTAGCTCTGCTTCCTGCTAAGGCAGACCATGCGGGCAGCAGCTGACGACTCGAGTACTTGGGTCCCTGCTACCTGTGCAAGCGACCTGGAGTGAGCTCTGGGCCCTTGGCCTCATCCTGGCCCAAGAATCAGAAGAATGAACCAGTAGACAGAAGATCTGTCTCTGTTGCTCTCCTCAACTGTCTCCTTGCCTTTCAAGCAAATACAATTTTTTAATTACAAAGATGAGAAAGTAATTGTAAATTGGCTCTAATTCTATTTCCCACATTTTGAAATCTTATTCCACACATGCAGTTATAAGAAGACAAATGAATATGGATGTGCACGCGTTTATTAATCCTCGCCTATTTGCACAAAGTATCCAATATCTTTAATTAGAAGCAATTCTTCCTACTTATATCCCTAAGTAATAAATAATAAGAACCATTATTATAAATTAAAATGGATTTCCACATTGAAAACTCTACTTACCACTAAGACCTTCAGAACTAGATGATTCTGGTAGGCAGACTCCAATCTGTGGTTCTCTAAAATATTAAAATAAGATGTCATTTCTCTCAGATAGGAAAACAATGGGGATGCACCTGCGTGATGTGAAGCAGGAAATGAGAGCAAGTGTGTGTGCCACCAGAGCCACAGTGGCTAAAAGGCTCCTAGGGTATTAGCCACAGTGCCTTTAGCGGAGTGTCATCAAGACAATTTCCACCTACTTCCTGCTTGGCGAAGCACACAGCTGCAGTGTTAGGAGCCCAGGTGTTGGACAGCTAGGTCGGCCTCCACTAGGCTCTGCAATTTGCTGCCCGCAACCTGTTCTCTGTCCACATCTTTACCCATAAAACGGTGAAATGACCTGAACTGCATTGTTCCCAGAGGAGGAGAAAGTGAGATACCGAGGGTTGAGTACTTAGCAGGGCACCTAGCACACAGCATCTAACTGGCAGTCAGTGAGCGCTAAGGTGACCTGGAGACATCAGCCCTCACAAAGCCCCAGGACCTCTTCTGACAGCTTCAGAGCCCAGAGCCACAGCTATGTTCCCTGTGAGGCAGCAGTGCTACATGAGCCAAGCACACTCCTCCTAGGCAGCTAAGCCATGAGTACAGAGCATCGGTACTCACCCCAGGAAGTCAGAAACTCGGCGGCGTAACGGTAGAGGCGGTTCATGATCTCAATCACGATGGCGTAGATGATGCTGGGCACGTACAGCAAGAGGCTGGTCCACTCCGACTCGCTGCTCTCATGCAGCCCCAAGGCCCAGGTCTCCATGTCGAAGTAGATCATCATGACGTACAGGGAGAAGTAGAGGCAGGCGCACACGAAGGGCAGCGAGACGAGGTAAATACGCATCTGCCTCTTGTAGGTGGAGTAGAGAGGCTCCTCCCTGCCGGTGACCGAGTTGACCCCCAGGACCCCGTGGAAGCCTGGCCGGGGCTCCTCAAACTGCCTCTTCATGACCAGAGTCCCCCACCTGTAGCTCATGTTGGCACAGCCGCGCTTCCACACCTCCAGGATCACCGTGGACCAGATCAGGTTGAAGGAGGCGAAGATCACATACTTGTCATAGTCTTCCCACACAAACAGGTAGTAAGGCAACCCAATGACGGCCATGGGGATTAAGGCGAAAGTGAAATATTCCAAAAACCCAAAGTAAAGAGCGATTGTTTCTCCGAAGTAGCCACGAATGTTGTCTACGGTGGGAGGAAAGAAAGGACTCATCTACAGACTGCTAGAGACTTTCTTCGTTTCAAGCTTATCCATTTTTTTTTATTATTATATATATTTAGCAGTGCATAGTATTCAAGTGAGATTTTACAGAACTTCGTGCATTTTAGGATAATCAAGACTTATAATTCTAACAAGTCATATATTAACAACTGAGGAGTAGAACAGTAGGCAGGTGCACAGAGAAATCTCCAATATCTTAGCCAATGAGGAGTCACTGAACCCTGCATCCTACCTGGTGAGGTCTAGGAAAGGTCAAGTCGGGAGACTGACCAGTAAGGCACAGGCTGAGCAATTATAGGCCAGCTGACTTTCTCCTGTCTGTTCAAATCTTTCTGTAGAAGTCTGTCTATCTGATCTAATTTGGGGACACCTGAGTGACTGTTGGTCAGTGCAAGAGAGGATGGGGAACTAAGTAAGGACCAGAGAAAGCTCCTCTCCTGAGTGCAGAAGGAAACTTACAATTCTTCTGTCTCTGAGGACCTCCCGGGGCTCCTGGCTGTTGTTCCTATGTCATCAGACCCTGTGAGGAGGGTTCTGGGCTGCTTCAACCCCATGTGGGAGATCCAATAGGAACTGGATGACCTAAGAGGGCACTCAAATTCGCTGTGCTCTCCTTGGCAGTTGAGATATGGTCCTTGGTGCCCATACTGACAATCCTTGCTAAAGTTTCCACCGCTTCTGTGGCAAATCAAGCTTATTCACAACAGAATCAGACGGCCTTCCTGTTTGGGTCTCAGGGAAAATGTTTGTGCCCCAGCTACCATCACCTGTACCAGCCTGTCCCCACAAACGCCTGACCACCTTATACCCAGCCTGCCCCATCAACTCACCTCCTCCCCTGACTTCCCAGGAAGCAGCTGTGAGTTAGCGTCACCTCACACACTTTGCAGTCAGTATTCAAACTTACTGCACTTAAATGCCAAAACAAAAAGAAAAACTGTTCTAAGCATAAATTAGGATGACTCGTGTCACTGAGTGGTTGAAAACAACTCTTTCAGAGGATAAAAGTAAAAATTCAAAATACAATTTTAAATGAGAATATTTAAAAAAACTATGCTCATGGTTCTAACACTGTAATAGTTGTTTTCACAAATAGAAATTAAAAGGAAATTTGGAACGAATTCCCTTAGAAACCATCAAAAGAGAAATGTCATTTAAAGAAAATAGTCACAACACTTCTGATAAAGATCAACTTAAATGGAATTCACACTCTTAAGAAAATGTAACCAGGACCCAGTGCAGTAGCCTAGTGGCTAAAGTCCTTGTCTTGCACACACCAAGATCCCATATGGGCACCAGGTCTAATCCTGGTGGCCCCGCTTCCCATCCAGCTCCCTGCTTGTGGCCTGGGAAAGCAGTCGAGGACGGCCCAAAGCCTTGGGACCCTGCACCCGCATGGGAGACCTAGAAGAAGCTTCTGGCTCCTGGCTTTGGCTCAGCTCAGCTCTGGCCACTGCGACCACTCGAGGAGTGAGTCAGTAGATAGAAGATCTTTCTCACTGTCTCTCCTCCTCTCTATATATCTGCCTTTCCAATAAAAAAAAATCTTAAAAAAAAAAAAGAAAATATAACTAAACCACAAGATTTGAACATCCATGCTGATATAACTTCACATAATGTTTAATACGTACCAAATAATCATAACTGTATTTAGAGAAAAAGGACCAGTCCTGTAATACATACCAGAATATTTATACTAGCTAAAAAGATGTTTTGCATCTGTTATTCACCTGCCCTTTACAGGAGCATAGCTAGGCCCACTCTTAATATAAAAATACAAATTTTTTATATATAAAATGCTGACAGGGCCCGGCGCGGTGGCGCAAGTGGTTAAAGGTCCTCGCCTTGCACGCCCGGGATCCCATAGGGGCGCCGGTTCTAATCCCGGCAGCCCCGCTTCCCATCCAGCTCCCTGCCTGTGGCCCGGGAAAGCAGTCGAGGACGGCCCAAAGCTTTGGGAACCTGCACCCATGTGGGAGACCTGGAAGAGGCTCCTGGCTTCGGATCGGCATAGTATCGGCCCGTTGCGCTCACTTGGGGAGTGAATCATCAGACGGAAGATCTTCCTCTCTGTCTCTCCTCTCTGTATATCCGCCTTTCCAATTAAAAAATAATAAAAATAAATCTTTAAAAAAAATGCTGACAAACTCAATTCTTTTTTTAAAGATTTTATTTTTATTATTTTTTCATTGGAAAGGCGGATATACAGAGAGGAGATACAGAGAGGAAGATCTTCCATCCGATGATTCACTCCCCAAGTGAGCCGCAACGGGTCGATACTATGCCGATCCGAAGCCAGGAGCCTCTTCCGGGTCTCCCACGCGGGTACAGGGTCCCAAAGCTTTGGGCCGTCCTCAACTGCCTTCCCAGGCCACAGGCAGGGAGCTGGAAGGGAAGCGGGGCTGCCGGGATTAGAACCGGCGCCCATATGGGATCCCGGGCGTGCAAGGCGAGGACTTAACCACTTGCGCCACCGCGCCGGGCCCCGACAAACTCAATTCTTATAAAACCTATTTTACTCTGACATACATTCATAAAAACCACTATGAATTGCCTGATAGTCAGTGAATTCAGCAAAAGTGTAAGATTTAGTTAGTCTAGAATAGTATTGGAAAGTCAAAAAATCCAAGTGGGGGCAGCAGCAGTGCAGCATGGCAGTATGGCTGAAGACACCGTCTGCAACGCTTCCATCCCAAATTGTCCTGATTCAAGTCCTGCCTGTCCCAGCTCAGACCCAGCTTCCTGACAATGGCCTGGGGAGGCAGAGGCGCAACACTTGGGCCTCCATCACCCATGTGGAACACCTGGAGGAAGTTCTTGGCTCCTGGCTTCAAAGTCACCTAGCTCACCCTGTTACCTCCCCCAAGAAGAGTGGGTGAGTGGGTGACCCGTGCCTGTCAGAGTCCTATCTGCCATGGCATACGACTCCCGGGCTGGGGGCACTTTCCGTCGGAGTGTTTTCTCTGAGAGCACGGTGGCGGACACACACCTATGGGCTGATACTTCAAAGCCAAGCGGGTGTACCAGGAGTCCTCGAGCTTCTTCAAGGCTTCGTTGTCATGCAGCGGAAACAACTGCACCACAATGCCAGATGTGAGTAATCTTCTCACTGTGGAGAGAACACGGCAAACCACGTCAAAGGGACTGTGCATGGCGTCCTGCTTCAGCAAGTACTCCGAGTACAGTGCAGGCCGAGGCGTCCTCCGCACAGGGCAGCGTCATCCTGCCTGCTCCAAGTGTGTGGATCAGTCGTCTTTCGGGGTTGGGAGAGACCTTCATCACTCTGAGGTGCGATGTTAAGCTAATGTGAAATTCTGTATCATATAAAAGCACACAAATTTAAATGAGACTCTCTCCCTATTCCACTATCATAAAAATTTAGTCTGTGGCCCGACTTCCAAACATGCTTTCATAAATACTAAATGTATACTTTAAAAGCAAAAATGGAGTCATCACTTTGCTTTGTAAACTTTTCTCCCATAACAGTATTTAATATTTTAATGTCAATATAGATAGAACCCAAAACACCCAAGCTACAGAGTCCCACATTTCCTTGTATGAAATGCCATGATCTAACTGATTCTCTTCTGGAAAATGTTTCCCTTTTGTGCCCCTACTAATAATGCCAACATTCATGTACAAGTGTCTTTTGCTACTCGTCTACCATCCCCTTGTTTCACAAACTTGGAAGTGGAGTTGCTAAGGGCCAGACTAAGGGTATATATTTATTTTAAATTTGAAAACAGATCACAAAATTGCCTGTGGAAAAATTTTAACCAGTCTGGCCTCCCATGAGCGTGAAGCTAAAGAAAATAGTCTTTCATTCTGTTTGATATTATTTCCAATGTTGCTGATCTGAAAACCAAGATTGACATGCAAACAGCAAGTATCACAACCAAATCCATACTTCCTACTTTCAGCCATCGTTTGCCTGGGACAGTCGGTAATGCAAACACACATGGTGATAAAAGGCAATGAGCAAAGGCAGTATCAAGTGAGAATGGGACATTCTCTTCCCCGCAGAGTAATTACTTGGAGGGACTCACTGGGGGAGAAGCTTGGGTGGCATCCCAGTCCTCGGGTGAACATGTGCTCACTGCAATGGAGAAGTCAAATGCCTTGAGCCACTATTGGAAAACGAGGGAGCGTTTTCCATTGGTCCCTCCTACAGACTCCACCAAAGAACGGACTGCTTTAAAGATGGAGCAGGCATCAACAAAGGATGCTTTGCCTTTCTTGTCTGTTTTTAACTGGGCTATATCATCCATCGGTAAGCTGTGAGCTTCTTGAGGTTTTGTCAGTCCAACTCTTACCTCCTATCTTCCTGTCACCTAAGATGGTGATAAAGAAATCAGTTTGAGACCACCCCCTCCATGAGAATTGCAAACCGATGTCTGGCATGTAGGAGAAACACCATATCCGTCTCCAGTGCAGCGAAACTACATGTGGCAAACAGAAGCAGTGTGTTCATGGGTCAGGTTCTCATAAAAACCCTTCAGAATAACTGAAGAGCAAACCGAGCCTCTTAGAAATGGAAAAAAAGGGGGGGGGCAGAAAACAGAGATGAGATATCCGACACTAGCTACAAGAAACGGTCTGGGTTCTGAAACTGATTCTTAGAACTCGGCTCTTATTAGAGTGGACATCTCATGAGTAAGCTACGCTGAGGAAAGGTGTTTGAAGCTGGAGCTGAGACGGCATGAATGAAAAGCCTACGTTCCCCAAACACCAACAACTGGAGTGCAAAGGACATCTGAATCAGGTGACAGCAGTCTCCCCAACCTGGTATCCCTACTGTTACTCCCCAGGTCTCCCTGGCCTTTTCTCCAGCTGCCTGGATAGCTCAGTCCTTCCTGGGGATGCACGGGCCGGCTCATCCTCTCCTTGTCCCATCCTTATCCCAGCCTCTTCAAGGTTTTAACCTAGAACTGACTTAAGGCATCTAAATGATTATTTTTACTGTGTCTCAGTTCTTTTGAAATACATGACTCCACCCGTTGGTAAGAGTTTTCAAGCAGGCTTAAGAACCAGTCTGGGGATCTCTAAAAATAGAAGGAGCCAAGGACTGAGAACAGGAGGCTGCAGCTCTAAATTACTGGGCTTCTCCTCTCCATGGCTTCTGGTTTCAGCTTCTAAAAATAAAGGGTTGCCTTTTTTTTTTTTAAACCCTTCAAGCTTCTTGTGTCAGCTAAGAGGGTAATTACTAGGAAGCAGTCTTCCTTTCAAGGAAGAATAGGATGTTGTGCAGGCCTATTTAAAAAAAGCAACAACTTAAAGTGGGCTCCTTCCCTTCAAGAGTACTTGAGTGATCTCTGGTCAAGTACTGCGGTCCTGACTATCACAGCCACTGAACAATTACCCAAACAATCACTGTCTGAAAGACCCAAGTCTAAGGTGGCTGGAAGCTGTCATTTTCTCCCGTGTTTTCCTATTTGCCTTTAGTTTGTGGCTTCTTTTCCTCGTTGCGCTAGTTTTGGTGTTCCTTGTAGTGCGTTCTGCAGGGAGCTCTGTGCCAGTTTCTTGGTGATTATCACTTGCCTTTTTAACGCATCTCTATGCTTTCCGGCCTGGCAGTTTTTGGAGGAAGTGTGGCTTAGAGAGAGGGTTACTGGGGATGCTCCAGCAGGGAGTTGAGGCAGCAAGGCACTTAGAGCTTGCCTGGCCGTGTGCTTGCCCTAAGTGGCCCAAGTCTCTGCAGCGAGCCTCAGAGGAGTCCTGTTCCTGCAGGAGTTTTTGGTTCCGTTTATCACTTATGCCTGTCTTTGGCCAACCAAGACACAGGGCACCACAGCTAGTCAGCGGCAGCTCCGGCTTCCAGGAGGCAGCTCCTGCCCGCTACACAACAGCCCTGTCCTTCTGGCCCTCCAACCTCACCCTGCCTACCTGGCTGTGGTGCTACAAAGCGGGCAGACATGCTCCAGGGGCCCACCAGGGATCCATCTTGGCCCGTATGCTGGGCAATGCATCACTGGTGTTCAGGAGTACCCCACCCACTGGCCCCAGGTTCACAGGTGCCTGGGCTCAGCAGACGATGGATTGATTTTCTGCATTTGTGGCTTGCGGAGATGCTTTTCACCCCCTTCCTTTTGTAAGAAATAAAGGTTTCTTCATGTTTTCTGCTTGCTTAGTTTTTAAATCAATGTCATGAATACAAATAGGCCAGTGATTTATTTCTGCCACTATCTAACCATGATTTCCACATTCTGTATTTAGGTAGTTGTTTGGTGCCATTCCAAAATTCTTAGATCTTTCAGATCCTCTTAGCAAGAAGAAATTTTTTCAGACTGCTCAATACTACATCAAATAAAATACACAGCTGGCTGGGGCTGTACATTGCTAACATAAGCATCCTATTTCTTCCTGTTTCTTCGCATTGATCAGATCATGTGAGGGCCCTGGCTGGTTGCTGTGCCCAGACAGCTGGACTGGCATCCACAATAGAAGCAGTTTTGTTGCTGGTATAATGTTTTGTAAACAAGGACCATCCCTCACTCCATTCTTCCTTTCTTTCTCTTTAAGTAACATGAAGAATATTTTATAAGGATTAAAAAGTACACTCCATAATTAAAATTGACCTAAAAACTATGCAGTCAACAAAATAGCTGTAGAATTCATAAAACAATAGCATGACAAAAAGAGCAAACTGACAGAAACATAATTAACAGAAACAAATATATAAGGCTGTGATAGATCAAGGAAAAACAAACCCACAAACACCTGCGTAGTTGCACAGTGAGTAAAACCTCCTTCTGCGATGTTGACATTCCTTATGGGTGCTGGCTCAAGTTCTGACTGGCTCCATTTTCAATCCAGCTCCCTGCTAACAGCCTGGGAAAAGCAGCAGCAGTAGATTGGCCCCCTGCACCAATGTGGGAGACCCAGATGAAACTCCTGGTTTTGGCATGGCTCAGACCCAGATGTTATAGCTATCTGAGGAGAGACTCAGTGGGGTAAAGCTCTCTTTCTGCCTTTCCCTCTGTTACTGTAACTCTGTATCTCAAATAAATCAAAATAAATCTTAACAGGAAAAAAAGTTGGAAGGATACAAGACCTAAATGACAAAATTAATAACATATATGTAAAAGAAATTCAGAAATGCAATAAAACATCTAAACAGTCAAGTCACACCAATACAGATGTAAAAATAAAATTACAACTGGAATTCAGCTGGAAAGTGATATTCTGTAAGACAAAGCAGAATGCAAATAGAAAATGTGTATTGTTAAGAACACTATGCATGGAGCTTGAATTTTTGCACCAAAAATAAGCATATCTTTCAATTGCATTTTTCCATGAACTTTTCAAAGTACCCTCAAATGAACCACACTTTCTATATTAGTAAAAACAGATTTATAATAATGTTCCTATATGCTACCAAAAAAGTATCTGATAAAACATATAGGCACACGCAAAAAAAAATCTTAAAGCAGAATAGATGCTTTCTAAATATGATAAAATTGTTTAAGTCAAAAGTCAGCAACATGCTAACTGTTCAAATACAACAAGACTTTCCTTGGTCAACTGACGCAATCACTGTGGAGGGAAATTTGGCAATATCTTCACCAGTGACACATACGCTAAACCACATGCACTTCTGAGAACTCCCTACTTTGTTCACAGCAAAAGAAAACTGAAGGGAAAAGATTTAAAGTTCGTGAATAGGATGTCACTCAGATAACAGAATGCTGGGTGGCCTATCAAACCTAATGAGTCAGACCTAACACAGTAATCTAAAACGATGACCAAAACATAACTTCCCAATAAAGAAAACCAAGACCAAAAAGGATTCACACCATAACCTCCTATTTGTTTGCATACAGGTGTTTTCCTGAGCAATGTTTCTCCCACAGTTTATAACAAGAATGGCAAGGGGGATTTGGAACTTGGGATAAGAGAAGGACCATGACCTACACTTGAATGATTATACATTTGTATTATTGTTTTCAGTTGATAAAAATAGAAACAAATGTGAAGAATACATTCTCTTTAAAATGGACTTATAGGAAACCAAAAAGATGCAAACAGCTGGTCTGCACTCAGGTATCATGCTACGCTGTAAATGTTAGACTTTCTCATGTTTATACGTGTTCGCACACGCTGAGATCAGAGAGATCAGAGAGAGTGGACAGAGAGCCCAGGAACACATCACTTCGCCCACCAATGTTTCCTTACAGCACAGTGTTGGGGTGTAACTGTTCCTAATTTTAACTGAGGTATCGGTGGGTGTGTTCACAGCTCACTGTACAGTGTGTGAGGTCAGCCTTCATCATTAGCAAGTGGAGAACTATACAGAGCAGAACATTCATTTACAGGTACAATAAAATGAAGCAAAGAGTAAAGACATGTCTACAAAAAGACAAGTTACTGAAAAATTGCCTAACTTTTTTAGTAAAAAAAAAAAAAAAAGGAAAAGTGGGGGTGGGGGGGAAGTCTCCACGATTTTCTATTTATTCTTATTAAGAAACAAAATGGTAGTTACACTAAGATGTGTATTAATGAAACTGACTGACATAATGACTTACTTAATGATTTCCCTGGATACAGCTTTGCCTGCGGGTAACCAGGGATCATTTTTTCATCTCTAGCTCTCAGATTTTCAAGTTCATGCTTGATGATGAATTGGCACTCTGCCATCGTGAGGAAATCATCATTGTTATCTAAAATAAGACAAAAATTTCCAGTTATTTTCTCAGTAATAACCAGGTTAAAATTGCACACTCCAATTAAACTATGAACATGATATAATAAACAAAAAAAGTTAGCATAAAATTGGCAAATTAAGTACAACATAAAATTCTTTACATCTTTTATAACAATAAAAACTTGATACACTTCTTCAGTTTTTCAATATGCAATGTTATATAAAGTATATAACATGGTACAGCCATTTTAATCAACATATACCTGCTCTGATCTCATTTAGCACCAAAGAAAAGGCAGCATGTTCTTGAATTCTAACTGTATTTTTAGCCAGGGATGAAATGGAAGAAGTTCGTCCACATGGCAAAATTTTCAAACTCTAGAGCCATTCTATTCCTTTCTCTCATAAAGGGCAGAGAAAAAAATTATGGTAGGGCCCAGCACGATGGCCTAGCAGCTAAAGTCCTTGCCTTGCACGTACCAAGATCCCAAATGCGCACTGGTTCTAATCCCATCCAGCTCCCTGCTTGTGGTGTTGGAAAGCAGTGGAGGACGGCCCAAAGCCTTGGGACCCTGCACCCGCGTGGGAGACCCAGAAGAAGCTCCTGGCTCCTGGCTTCCATCGGTGCAGTTTGGGCCATTGAGGCCACTTGGGGAGTGAACTAGTGGATGGAAGATCTTCCTCTCTGTCCTCCTCTCTGTGTATCTGACTTTGCAATAAAAATAAATATTTTTTTTTTATTCTGGTAAGAAAATAGTCTCGCTTTCTGATAGCTGAATCTTCTTAGTTAAGACGCGTTCACCTTAATCACTGAGGTAGAGTACAAAACTCCAGAGGAAATCAAAGGCAGCCCAATCACAAGCAGCCCTGCAGGCTCTGGCAGGGTCCAGTGCGACTAACACCAAACTCCCACTCTGATGCCACAGCGGCCCCAGCTTCCTCAGGTTGTTCTAAAACTCTTATGGAAACTGCTTTGCATCCTAAATAGAATCAACTGCCCTGCCACATTTAATAGCAGAAAATTCAGGAACTGAGGTTTCTAGAATACAGTACCTTTGTATTTCTTATAAGCTTTTTCTATATCAAGTAAGTTCCAATCACTGTAAGAATCAGAATGTAATGATATGAGTCACACATAACCCTGCTCATTTGTGTCCCACCACTCCAGGAGCGGCAAAGCATGGCCCGGGGCCCGAATCTGGCTTGCCACATAGGGTTTCATTTCTTTGTTTTCATTCTGGTTTTTGACATAGGATAATGTGTATTATTAATATGATTTCCCATCACATTTTATGATGTTAGTCTTCTTCACTTTGCATGGGGCCAAAACAGATCCACTGAGTCCCTGACAACACCAGGGACGCCACCAACACCGAACATTTTCAACTAAGTCCAACAAACAGAACTTCATCATTCTCCAAATAAAATGCAAGCACCCTGCATCAGATACAATGACTGTGAATTGTCTGCCATTCTTGACAGGGAGAGAGGATCCTGACACGCTTCCTAATGGCTTCAGCCCTTACTCTTCCCAGCAGGACTCTCTTTGCAGAACTGCTAAACAGGTTTGCCTCCAAGGATGGGCCCAGATGCCCTTCTTGGTTCTGCTTCTTGTGGCCACTTCTGGTCCATGCGTGTCTGTAGAGTTTCCTGGCAGTATGCAGCTGATGACACCTGTCCCTTCTGCTGGCCCGTGGGCCTGAGCCATGAGGTTTAATAAAGTTTGGTTCGGGCCCAGCATGGTGGCACAGTGGTTAAAGTCCTCGCCTTGCACGCCCGGGATCCCATATGGGCGGCAGTTCTTATCCTGACGGCCCCACTTCCCATCCAGCTCCCTGCCTGTGGCCCGGGAAAGCAGTCGAGGACGGCCCAAAGCTTTGGGAACCTGCACCCGCGTGAGAGACCCGGAAGAGGCTCCTGGCTTTGGATTGGCATAGCATCAGCCGTTGCGCTCACTTGGGGAGTGAATCATCAGATGGAAGATCTTCCTCTCTGTCTCTCCTCTCTGTATATCTGACTTTCCAATAAAAATAAATCTTAAAAAAAAAAAAGAAATAAGAAATAAAGTTTGGTTCAAGCACAATCTCACTGATCCACTAACCGATGCTCTGAGGTTATTCCACCTGCACTAGCAGGGGTGAGTCCACACAATGGAGACCATGAGGTCCACAGAGCCTATTCACCTGGATTCTTTACTCCAGTTTCCTGACTCTGAAGTATTCATCAAAGACATCTTGTTGTTAAATGAAGTTTTATAGAAGTAAATTCTGGGACTTACCATCAAAACCTTTGAAGTTGTGTCGCGTTCCGTATGTGAAGGCTCTCATGGCATCGTCATTGCACTCTTTCACCAGCCCCACGGCTTCGGCCCCCAGCAACAATCGAATCTTGGAGGCACCAACGAGGTACAGGTTCTGGTTTTCTAGTGTTTCTTTCTCAAACTTATTGAGCAATGGCCTGAACAACAACTGAGCACCTGCAAGAACAAAGCACCGTCTTAGAGACAGAGGCTTTAAAAACCAATACTGTCTGCATAGATATGTTTCTGGTTTGCTAGAAAGAAAATAAATTTTAATAGTAATTTAAAATTGCCTTCCAGGTAACAAATAAGTAGGAATTGGGGATATTTTTTTAATGAATGCAAAAACTGGGATACATAGCAATAAAGGTTGACATCTTCTCAAATGATAAGTAGATCTGTTGTATCTGGGTATCAAATTGCACTGAGTAAAAAAAATGGAAAAGATAAAGCTTATGAGTATAAATAGGTCAAAATTTAAGAAAATTAATTTCAAATAAAATATTTCAGAAGAAAAGCCACACGTGTAATGTAATTACATGGATTATAACTCTGTGACTGTTAAATATTAAATAGTAAAAAGCAATGTAACTTTCCAGTGACTTTCCCATAAATTTCCAAATTCAATTAAGTTCTTCTTTTAAAAGATCAGTTTTAGTGCTTGGTGTGATAGCCTAGTGGCTAAATCCTCTCCTTGCACACACAAGGATCCCACATGGGCAGCAGTTTGTGTCCCAGCAGCTCTGCTTCCCATCCAGCTCCCTGCCTGTGGCCTGGGAAAGCAGTCGAGGACGGCCCAAAGCTTTGAAACCCTGCACCCGCGTGGGAGACCCGGAAGAGGTTCCTGGATCCCGGCTTCAGATCGGTGCAGCACCAGCCATTGCGGTCACTTGGGGAGTGAATCATCAGACGGAAGATCTTGCTCTGTTTCTCTCCTCTGTGTATATCTGACTTTTTAATAAAAATAAATCTTTTTAAAAAAAAAAGGACCCCATTTTTCTTAATTCTTCAGTCTTTCAGAGTACTGTGCAGTATATACTAGAATGCATCTTAACTTTCTCCCATGCCAGAATAAGTTAGGGCTTTTTCAAACCTGAGGTTATTATTATTCATCCACCTTCTTTCTAGGTTTCTAGTTTTTATTGCTAGCAATAACAATAAATAAATATGTTTTCTTCAGTTATTTTTATTACCAGTCTAGAAGAAAACAGAAATGAACCCAAGTATTAAATCTACCACCTTTATCTAGAAAACAATGCCTTCCTAGAATGTTTCTTATGACCATGTAAACCATGTAGAAAGACGTGCCCCCAAACCTGTTCACGTATGTCCACAAATGCAAAAAAGAAGGCTGGGGATATAATGGAGTCTCTCATGCTAAAATACTACAAGTGCTCATACAGGCACACATTTTAGAGAACAGACTCCAGACTAGCAAAATAATTCAAATTTCAGCAAGCAGAATCTCTTGTTTTTAAGTTTCCTTTTTGACTCCATTAATTTTTTAATTCCATTTTGATTAGATATTTTAAAACAACACTACAGTCTACAAGGACTACAGTCTACCAGGGAAAAAAAGCTTAAGTTTATTCTGTTGTTTAAAGACCCTGAATAGTTTAAGCTGCTGTTTTGTGGGCCAGCATTGTGGCACAGCAGGTAAAGTAACCACCTCTGAGACCAGTAACTCGTAAGAGTGCTGATTTGAGACCCCCACTTCTCCACTTCTGGTCTAGCTCCCTCCTAATGTGCCTGGGAAGGCAGTGCAGGATGCCACAAGAGCTTGGGCCCCTGCATGTAAGTAGGAAACCTGCAGGAACTGCCAGGCTCCTAACATCAGCCTGGTCTAGCCCCAGCTGTTGAGACCACCTGAGGAAGGAACCAGTAGCTGGAGGATGCTCCCTTCTCTCCCTTCTCCAAACTCTGCCTTTCAAATCCATTTTAAAAAACGTTTTTAAAACAATGTTGTTCTGTGTGGTTTATGAAAGATTCGCTCATAGAAAGCACCTGCTGCCTTGTTACCCAGACCCGACTCCTTCAAGAAGACTAAATCTTGGCTGCATCTCTCACTGCTCCAAAGATCGCTGCCAGTCACTTAATCCTTCTGTCCCCTTTTATGAGCAAGGGATTCCTTTGTACGTACTAGATTTTGCTCTGTGACAGCTCTTCACTAACAGTCCCAGGAGCTGCCCACACTCTCCACACCAACCATAACATCGTAGCAAAAACCGCACACACCTCTTCCGTGGTACCACAATCACAACACAAAAAGAGCAATTGGTGCATACGTGTTCTTTCATTCCACAGAGCAGTAGAGGACAGCCCAAAGCCCTGGAATCCTGCGCCCAAGACTCCTGCTGTGCATGAAGCACTGCTCTGGGTGTGGTGCTTAAAGCTGTGAAGAGCATCACTCACAGTCCCGGTCAAGTCTAACAGAGGCTTACAATCTAATGCGGAATTACGATGTATTTTAAAGGCCTAGGCAGATAAAAAGAGAGAGAGAAGAGAAATACGCATTACTAAAGAAATGTGTTGAAAATTGTAAGCCATGTTCTTGCCTTCCATAGATGTAATCAACTTTGGATGTAAAATGTAGTTGGACCTATAATGGCTGCATCTATTGTGAACTTGCACACACTTTTTTTTCTTGCCAATATTCCCTAACAACATGCAGGACAACTATTTACACAGCTTTTACATTGCATGGGGTACTGTAGGTAAATTTTCAGTAGAAAGCTCACAGATTTCGTGTAGACAGTAGGCCACCGGAAGTAAGCATCGGAATATCTACAGTGCTAACAGGTCACTCACCTCCATCTTTCTTTTTAGCAATAATTCTGTTTTTCAGCCATTCTTTGGTTTCTTCTTTGACATCCTGAGCCAGTTCTATGACTACCAAAGGGGTAAAAGAACTCTCAGAGGTATCCAAAGCTGATAAGGTCACTTTCATCTTTGACAAACTTGCTAAAAAATAAAACAGAAGGAATGGTTAATGTAGCAAAGAGAAATAGGCTGTAGAGAGTTTGTATTTTCACTGTATTTACACCTACTTCTAGCTTCCCAGATCAAGACAAATTTCTCACCATACACAGGCACCAACGTAGTCAGTACGGAACTATCACAAATCCCATAGGGTATGGGCACTTTTGGAATATTCTGGAAAGAGCTGATACTGGCCTGAACAGTAGCAGAGGAGAGGTCAGGACACGTTAGGGGCAAAATCCACAGACACTGAGAGCTGAACAGACTAAGATAAACCAAAACTGGTGAGTGGGTAACAAATGGTTACAGTGCGAGCACACAGAACTTTCTAGGGCACTTAGTTAGAAGAGGGGCTAGCATTTCCTCCAAAATCACATTCTAAAACTATGACACCTTACCTAAAAAGTAGAAGCCAAGACTTCCACTTCCAAGATAGAGTAATCCAACCACAAACCCCCTGGCCGAAGACCACTCACCAACACACAGAGACGCCGGGTACAAAATCTGTCGTTAGTACAGAGCATGCCAAGGGGAAGGTGAATTTTGCTTTAAGTTGGGATCTTACAGAGCACAACCTGAAGACAGCGGTGGGCCTGAAGCCCTGCACGGAACTAAAGCCTGGAACAGCACTGTCTAGCAGTGGAGATAACTAGATGTGCAGCAAGCTGCAGAGAAACCCACCCAAAAGGATGTACAGCGGCCACTGGGCCAGGAACCAAGAGACAGCGAGTTCTGACAAAAAACTGGAAACTAGGAAACCAATTTTAACAGGATTCTAGAGTTGAAAAATATGTTGAAAAGTGAAGAGCCTAAGGGAAGCTTGACTGAAAACTGTACTAACCTAAACATAAATGCAATACACAAAATCCTTTATTAAGTGTTCACTGCATACAAAGTAGTGTGCTAGGTGCCTATATGTATGTGACTCATTTTAATCCTAATAGTCCTTCCTTAGGACTAACCTCCCCCCACAGCCCCTTTCACCCCACCCCTAAAAACAAAGTATCCCTGAGAAAGTGAGAAAGTGAAAAAGACTGCTTTCCCAGGCCACAAGCAGGGAGCTGGGTGGGAAACAGGGCTGCCAGGATACGAAGCAGCGCCCATGTGGGCTCCTGGGCCAGCAATGAGAGGACTTTAGCAATTAGGCTACCGCGCCGGGCCCTGTGGGGGGAGTTTAAATTTCGTTTATACTTAAAAAAAATTATTCCAAGTTCTTAGGCATCTTAAGAAATGGCTCAAAGGGAAGGAGGTAGGGGAGGAGGCGGAGAACCAGAGACTGAGAAAGCAGAAGGGACGGAGGGAGACAGCAGGAGAGATGAGGGATGCCATATTTTAGCTCTGCTACCAAGTTTGAACAGTATGGGCACCAACTCAGAGAGCCGCCATGGGAGCCAATGAGGCAGGCCTGACACCCATCCCCCAGGGCCACGTGAGGCTCTCTAAAGCAGCGGTCCCATCTGGGGGCAACTTTGAGACTTTGTCAAATTTCTCCTAATTCTGTACTTCATCGAGGTAATCACTTGGTGTGCACAGTCACACAGGAGCAGCCAGCACTGAGCAGTGCAGCGCCCTTCTCTGCTGGAAATCACTGCCTCATGCAACCTCATTACATCCAAGTGGCTGGGCTAGATTCAAATTATACTCCAGAGCCACCCAGGAGCACTACCTAAAAGCACGGGTTAAAGCAAACATGCTGGTTTCTGTGAAGGAAATGAGATCACACAGGATGCAGTGTTGGCCTCCAGTGAGCTAACAATGCCTGGGCACACGCACAGCAAGAATCATATTCCACACGGGAGAAGAGCGCAGGGCACGCCAACGCAGTAAGGATAAAGACAGTGTAACAAGGCTGGCTGGAGCAGAGCGGGAGGCTGTGTCCTCTGAGTGCAGCCATGACGGTAACGGAGCCCCAGCTCACACCGCCCCAGAGAAGGGATCCCTGCAGATCCTCCAGCAGAGGCCCACATGTCAGTCACAGCGGCTGCAACAGGCACACTGAGGGTGCAAGAAAACGGATGTTCTTCATAGCATTCCCCAATTCCTCACGAACTGTTCAAGTCTTTCGTGATAAAACTCTGGGCAACATGCTAATGTGCCAATAGAATTTAAAAGCATAGCTTTATCATCTTAAAAAAAAACAGAGCTATCAAACACAAGAAACATTTACCACGCACTATGAAGAGCCAGGCCATGACAGGACCCGAAGCAACAGAAGCAAAGTCTACAGCTTTCCTTTGAGGAGCCCTGGTCTAGCAGCAGGTGTGCACGAAGCAATTCTAGCCCAGCGCCAGGTGGGAGCGGGAACGGGCACGCATTGTGTGGGAAGAGCCTAAGCAGCAGAAAGCCTTCAGTGGAAAGAACTGGGAACGAAGAAGTTGCAAAGTGGTAAAGAACACTCAGCGGAAAGAGCCCAAGTCTTTGGCGGAGTATGTATAGACTGTTATCAAAGATCAAAGGTTGTGAATATTTATGCATTGTGCAACTTCAAAAATGTCCCTCTTATTAATAATTACCAGGTCATAAAACAGCTTGATTGATTAAAAGGCGTTTCCCTAAAACTACAGGGGCAGGTGTTCGGCCTCAGTGGTTAAGCCTGATGCCCCACAGCGAGGGACCTGGGTTCATTCCAGGGCCTGTCCCCTGAATTCCAGCTTCCTGCTCATGCAAACCCGAGAGGGGCCGTCAGCTGACTGCCCTGGGAGGCCTGGACTTGGTCCCCAGCCCCAGTGTGCGCCCTGGCCCAGGTCTGCCCAGGTCTGCCCAGGTCTGCCCACTGTGGGCAGTGTGGAGTAAAGCAGCTGACGAGTGCACTCTTTCTCTCAATGTCTGTATGACAAGTACATTTTTAAAATCAGGCTTTAAAATATTTTTTTCTGAACACTAAAAACTCACAATGAACACTGGCTGATTAATCTTCCATGAGATATCACATGCTGCTAATTATGCAAACCACACCTTAACAAACACATGCAATGGGTGAAGGATAACAGCCACCAATCCGGACACACAGTTCTTACAAATCAGTAACAAATACAAAATCATGAAAATAGGATTCACAAAAGAAATACACCAACATACACTTGAAAAGATATTCAAAATTACTGATAAAAGAGATACAAAATAACAAGATGCTCTGTCCTTTTGAAATCTGCCCAAGTTAGGCAAGCTTTGTAGCTCAGCAAGCTAAACCACTGCTTGAGATGCCTGCAACCCAAACCGGAGTGCCAGCTCAATTCCCGACATTCTGCACCTGCTCTCTAGCTTCCTGCTAACGCGCCCGCGGAGGCAGCAGCAGCTGCTCAGGCGCCTGGCTTCCCTCACCGGACACCTGGATGGAGTTCCTGGCCCCTGCCTCCGGTCCGACCCGGCCCGCGTGATGAGAATGCGGGGGTTCAATCAGCACATACACAATCTTTCCGGCTCTTTCTCCCTTCCTCCCCGCGCTCTCCACCACTTTGTCTTTGAAATAAGTGACTATCATTCAAATATATATATTTATATATATGTGTGTATATATGTATAAATAAATATATATATACAGCTAACATGGGAAAAATTTTGGATAAAGAACTGGAGTATTTTCATATTTTGAGGACAGAAGCTGTAATTTGAAACCACCTTTCCAGAAAGCAAACTAAAAATTTTGGGGAAAAAAAAATCGTACTCTTCAACATAGCAATGCCAACTTCCAGGAATCTGTTCCACGAAGAAAACCAAGTGCATCTGTATATGTACATATATTTTAGCTTTCCTTACTCACGAAATTTACCTCTCACAGGTTACTGGGGACTAGTGTTATGGCACAGCAGGATAAACCACTGCTTGCTACACCAGCTTCCCCTCTTGCAGCAACAGTTCAAGTCCTGGCTACTCTACCTCCAGTGCAGCTCCCTGTTGACGTGACTGCAAAAGCAAGTGTCCGGATCCCTGCAACCCGCATGAAGACCAGGATGGAGTTCCAGGCTCCTGCCTTCAGCTGACTCAGCGCTGGTCCTGGTGGCCACGTGGAGAGTAAAACAGCTGATGGACGCTCCCTAACTGCCCCTCTGTCACTCTTTCAAAAAAGTACACTTTAAAAAAAAAAAAGACAATGAACCAAATATGCATGCAAAAGCTCATTATGTATTGTGCTTACTGTGTTTATGTATTCACAGCAAAAGATAAACATTAGAAAATATCTTATTAGATATTGCTGAATGTCCATCAACAGATTGGCTTAAAAAACATAGCAAAATAATCTGCTAGAATGATAGGATAGAAATCCAACTATATTAACATGGAAGGTCTTCCCATTAGAAGGCAAAATATGCCAAGTATGTCCCACATAAATTATATAATAAACACATGGCAATAGCAAAATGACACTAGCTATCATTTGCTGAGGATTTATTATTTTTGAAGCACTGTGCTACCAATTTTTTTTATAAAGATTTTTTTTTATTAGAAAGGCACATACACAGAGAGGACAGATAGAGAGGAAGATCTTCCGTCCAATGACTCACTCCCCAAGTGACCGCAACGCTGGAGCTGTGCCAATCCGAAGCCAGGAGCCAGGAACCTCCTCCAGGTCTCCCACATGGGTACAGGGTCCCAAGGCTTTGGGGCCATCCTCCACTGCTTTCCCGGGCCTCAAGCAGGGAGCTGGATGAGAAGCGGGGCCACCAGGATTAGAACTGGCATACATATGGGATCCTGGTGCATACAAGATGAGGGCTTTAGCTACTAGGCTACTATGCCGGACCCGTGCTACCAACTTTTGTGTGAATGAACTCACTTAATCCTCACACTGACCCCTTGAAACGGAGAGTCTTCTACTTCATCACTGAGAACTTAAGTGAAAGGCCTTTTCCTGCATCTCCAGGCAGGACGGGGCAGGCTGCCCCAGGCCTGCATCATTAGGGGCCGGTAGGGACGTGTGCATCAATGTGTGTACACAAACCATATTAGTGCTGTGTTTCCATCAATTGCTCCTCTTGGGAGGTGGGATTTAGGATGCTTTTACCTTTCCTCTTTACATTTTTTATTTGAATCTTAATGAACTGATAGTTTTTATGATCACAAAGATGGGGCTCCATACTTACAAAACAGCACGGAAGTCCTCCATTTTCAGTAGTAAGTGCAAAATACACTTTCATTAAGATCAAGTGCTTTTAAAAAAAACTGTATGATACAAGACATTTTGCTTTATCAGACTAAAACCATGCCAATCTTGTATAAAAGCTAGAACTGGTCTTAAAACTGTTTTCTTCTGGGCCCAGTGCAGTGGCCTAGCAGCTAAGGTCCTTGCCTTGAAAGTGCCGGGATCCCATATATAGTTCTAATCATGACAGCCCCGCTCCCCATCCAGCTCCCTGCCTGTGGCCTGGGAAAGCAGTCAAGGATGGCCCAAAGCCTAGGGACCGTGCACCCGTGTGGAAGACCCAGAAGAGGATCTGGGCTCCTGGCTTCGGATCAGCACAGCACCGGCCGTTGCGCTCACTTGAGGAGTGAATCATCGGACGGAAGATCTTCCTCTCTGTCTCTCCTCCTCTCTGTTCATCTGACTTTGTAATAAAAATAAAATAAATCTTAAAAAAAAAAAAAAAAACCACTCTTTTCTTCTGGGTAAAAGTTAACCAACATCAGGATGCTTTCTGCTGATCAATGAGAAATAAAAGGTTACAGCATGTAAGCACATCCCCTCCCGCCTAGCTGCGACGCGGAGGACAAGGGTGGAAAGCAGGGTGGGAGGCAGACGTGGAGCAGAGCTCGGCGAGGCCCTCACCGACCGGGTCATGTCACCCAGGCAGTGACACCCACAGGCACACCACCGACGGGGCAGCGGTAAGGCAGGACCAGGACCTGTAACTCTACAAACAAAACCATGTCATCTGAAGACCTTTCTGTTTCTCATGCCCACCGGCCTGACTACAGCCTCGGAACCGAAAACTTCAGCCTGATAAACGTCTCAAGGCTAACATGAGGGTCCGCTGGGGCCCGGGGGAGGGCAGACAGCTGCCTGCTTATCTTGCTGGGCCTGGCCCCCACAGGCTCCTGTCCGGATGGTCCTAAAGTCACTCCAGAAGGGAGGCCCCTGGTCAAGGACCTTCAGCTCTAAATCCAGGATCAGCTAACACTCCGAGCAGTCACCTCCCAAGCCTTGGAGGTGCAGCTGGGGCACTCCGCCTTCTGAGAGATTCCCGCGGCAATTCACAGCCCCATAAAACAGGAACAAGAGATTTCCTGGGTCACGCCTTCTACCTGTGTGTCTCCCTGATGATTTACAAGCGCACATAAAGGAAATTAAAAGGTCCCTAATGGATTCCATAGACCCATCAAACAGCACTCAACTTATCCAGGAAATGAAGACAGACTTCCTCCTCTCAGGCAGGAGAATTCAGGTACAAACCTAGGGAAGTCACGGGCTTCCTAGCAGGCTTGCGTTAGCTCACAGGTCTGCGCCACAACACTCAATGCAGGAAGGGGTAAAGACAAACTGCCCACTGAACCCAACCCGGGATACTGGAGTGGAGCCTCGGGCACCACCAGGCCATCAGTGAAGTTTCCAGCAGGTGGCCCAAGATTCTGTAACAATGTAAATTTCGATCAGGTGGCCTAACACTTAGACTAGTAACGATGTGAATTTCCCGGTTTCACTCATTGCCTCCTGTTACACAAGAAACCACCCTTTGCCGGAAATGAGTGAAAAGCAAATGAGAAGTCTGTGTACCAACTTAGCAAATTTTTGTGAATCTAAGTTATTTTAAAAAGTTTTTGAAAAGTAGATTCTATTCCGTATAAACATTCTGTTTCCCTCTGTGTAATACATCTACACAAACACCTACAGACGGAAAGCAAGTAGACTGATACATGCATTCAACTCTAGACGGATGCTAAGCTAGTAATCGGAAAAAACAAAGGTTGTGCTGCTTATAAAAACAAAGAACTCAAAAGAAACTTTAGCACAGCTACCTCAAGCAATACTGAATCTTCATCTGCAAGCACACTGTGAAGTACAGAGCTGGCATTCTAACATCTGGTAAAAGAATTAACCCAGAAAAGGGACACAACCATTTAAAACGCTGTTTTCAGGCTGGGTGTTAGGGCACCTTGAAGTGCAGCGTCAGCCGCTCCCTGCTAACGCTCCTGAGGCAGCTACACGACGGCTCAGGGAAAGCAGACCTGCCTGGAGTTCCGGCTGTAGCATGGTCCAGCTGCAGGCCCAGATGCTGCAGCTATTTGGGGAATGAGCCAGCAGACTATAGATCTTTCTAGAACCTTCAAATAACCTAAAAAAAAAAAGTGTGAGACCTGCACTATAGCACAGTAGAGCTGCCACCTGCAGCAGCAGCAGCCCTCTGGGTGCTGGTCCCAGTCCCTGCCGCTCCAGCTCCCTGCCAAGGGCCTGGGAGAAGCTGCAGAAGATGGCCCAAGTGTTTGCCCCTGCCAGCCATGCGGGAGATGGACAGACAGAGCCAGCCTCAGCCCTGGGCATTCCAGCCATGAGGGGAGCGAACCAGCCGACGGATTTCCAAATAAATCTTAAAAAGAAAAATGTGTAAGAATTTGCAGCGATTCGGGTAAATGCCAAGTTGAAAAAAAATTTCAAATGGGAGGGGGTAAAGAACAAACTACAAAGAAATGTGACAATGCTGTTCTGATTACGTATATATGTATATTTACATATAGAAAAAACACAAAAACTGAAGAATGCATATGAGTGCTGACCGAGGAGGTAAAATTACCAGTGGGAGAGGGAGGGAGGGTGTTAAATTCTAGTCTCTATCTTCCAAGTTTTCTGCAATGAAACGGCACCTCCCTGGGTTTAGGCACACACACTTTAATTTCCCAGGCCCTTCCTACCTGCTTTTATTTTCGCCCTTTTAAATTTCAGACTCTGGCAACCACAGCTGATCAGAAGAGACTTTATGCAGCTCATCTGATAAACTTTTTTTAAAAAAAATCCTAACTCACAGAACCAGGCGCGTCGTAGAAAACACTTAAGTCTTTCAGATTGGAGTGACTACATGGAAAGTAGACCTTAAAAAGAAAAGTAGCTTTACACGGAAAAAAAAAAAAAAGGAAGGAAACCCATAGGGAGAGATTTTTAACTCAGGATTTAAGTTGAAACAACTGCCGGGTCGTCCGGATTCTCAGGTGCAGCGCACCGGGAGAACGAGGCGCAGCTGCAGGTGGCGAGCCCCGCCCCCACACGCTCCCGGAGCTGCCCCCGACCGGCGTCCAGGAGCCAGGCTGCACAGTGTGCCCGGGGCACACGCCTGGGAAGCCCCTCACCTCACGGGGCACACGGCCAGCAGCACTGCTGGGGCGCGGACCCCCGACCCCGCAGCGCCCTCCGCTCCGCCTCGCCCACCCCTCCACGCGCTCGCCGCCCCGTGCCCCGACGGCGACCACCCCCTCAGCTCTCACCCCTCCACTCCCGGCCGCAGCTCTCCTCAGACCTCCACGCCCACAGCTCTCCTCAAACCTCCACGCCCGACCCGTGGCTCCCAGCTCGGGAAGGAAGGGCTGCGGCTGACAGCCGTGCCCCGCCGGCCGCGGCAGCCGGGCCTCAGCCACCTCTCCCCCTCCACACACACCCACCCACACTCGGGCTCTGCGTGGCACAGGCCGAGGGTCCCTCACCGGCCGCCGCGGCGCTCCACGTCCTCGGGGGCGGACCCGGCAGCCGGCCGCACCGGGAAGCTGGGCGGTGGACCCGGAGGCCGGGGGCCGGGGGCGGGGCGGGCCTGCCGGCGGGCGTAAAGAACCAAGCGGGGCGAGCCTCGCGGGGCCGGCCGGCGTAACGCACGGCGGGGCGGGGCCGGGCCTAGCGGGGAGCGGGGCCTAGCGGGGGCGGGGCCTAGCGGGGAGGCGGGTCCTAGCGGGGAGGCGGGACCCAGCCATAGGCGGGGCCTAGCGGGAAGGCGGGCCCTAGCGGGGAGGTGGGGCCTGGCGGGAGGCGGGGCCTGGCGGGAGGCGAGGCCTAGCCGAGGAGACGGGGCCTAGCGGGGAAGCAGGGCCTAGCCGAGGAGGCGGGGCCTAGTTAGGGATGCGGGGCGGTGGAGGAGGCGGGACCTCGACAAGGGAGGTGGAGACTAGCTAGGGAGGCGGGGCCTAGGTGGAAGAGGCGGGGCCTAGTTGGGGAGGCGGGTCCTCGGCAAGGGAGGTGTGGCCTAAAGAGGGAGGCGGGACCTTGCCCAGCAGTCGCTCCGCATGGGGCAGGGCTTCTGTGCAAAGGGGCGGAGTTTCTCTGAGCCGGTCCGCCGAGGGGGCGTGGCCGGAAGGGGAGAGGCGGATCTAGTTGAGCTTGTCGCTGGGGTGGGGACCGGACGTAGCTGGACTCTCACCGAAGGTCGGAGCGACTTGGGATGGACTTCCCGGTTCAACAAAATCTAACTCTGATCACGTTCGCGTCGCAGCGCAAGTCTCGACCCATTTCAAGTGATGTAAAGTCCAGGTCCTCAAGTCATGGCTTGAATCTCACCTCCTCACCTGGACTCTTTCCGCCCCTCTGCTTGAACACCTGCTGTCCCAGTCCCGCTCCTGCCTGGATCACTTCTTACTCTCCAGTTCTCCTACCCACAACACCCGAGTTTCATATTAAATGTGTCGCCAGTCTCCCCAGTATGCAAACTTCACAAAGGCAGGGTTTGTTGTGGTTTTCTTTTTTTATATCAGTTTTGTCCACAGATAGACCCTGTACCCAGCAGACAAGCAACAAAACCATGAAGAGGGCTGGGAAGAGGAATGAATGCACGCTTTCTCCGGTCACACACACAGCTCAGGCCAGACCAGGCAGGACGCTGGGCTGCTTTCTGCCGCTCACTGTCTCTGAGCGCGGGATGAAGGCAGGGAAGAGTGTAAAAAGTGCAGGGGCACTTTAAAGGAACCCCTCCCCTCTTTAGGAGAATTCAGGAAAGAACCGAAATGATAAGTGCTTGTAAGCAAACGCATTTGGGGGCCAAGGGAGGGAGAGGGGAGGGGGGGGCCTCAAAGAAATGCCCAAATGGCCCCAGGCGATGCTGTGCACTTTGGAAAAATATCACAGATGCAACTAGTTCAACCAAAGCAATACTACCAGGTCAACTGTGGTGGGGTGGAATGAGTGCCATCACACTAAAACATCCAATCAGATGTTGTATAACTGAACATGTATTAGGAAACTTGAGGCTCTTTGTGCTGCAGTATTAAGACAACACCCTGCTCTGTGTCGGGGCCCAGAATTTGGAGAAGGCCCTTTCGGCCCAGCAGTTTTGCTGTTGAGAGCCTTGGTGTCTCCACAACATAACAGACAGAATGCCACTGCGCTGGGAGAGGAGCCGTTTGTCCCTTCGCAAGACCTCTGAAGCTGTCAGGGTGGCCCGTGGTCTTGTTGACAAGCTCTCCCACGGCTGAGCTCTCCTAGGCCCCGCAAGTTCTCTGAGAACCAGAGTAAAGACCTCATGAACTTCAGCAGTAGTTCTGACACAACTCAGTAGAAAGTTGTAACAGCTTACTTCCTGCCTTCTAACCTCTGCATATGATTTCAGCTTTTAAGAATATATAATATACACACTTCTATATACATTTACAGAGCGAGAAGGGGAGGGAGAGAAGAAGTGAGAGAATCTTTTAAAACTTTTTATTTCTTTTTGTTTGGAAGGAAGATTGACAGAAAAAGGAGAGAGAGAGAGAGATCCTCCATCTGCTGACTCACTCTCCAAATGGCTGCAATGGCCAGAGCTGGGTGGTTGAGAAACCTGGAGCCTGGACCTTCCTCTGGATCTCTCGAGTGGGAGCAGAAGCCCAGAAACAGACAGGCTTTCACTGCTTTCCCAGGCGCATTAGCAGGGAGCTGGATCAGAAGTGGAGCAGCCGGGATTCGAACTGCACCTCTGTCGGGTGCTGGCTTAGCCTGCTGTACCAGGCGTCTGGCCCCTCATCTCGTCTTCTAATACTTGTTTGGCTAGAAGGCTTAGAAAAAGTCAAATTTGAATAGAAATAGTACAAGTCCCATTTGTTTAGGCAATCTTATTTTACAATCACAAATAACAAGCAAACTTTCTGATAAACACTTGGACCATGCAGATGGTAGGATTGATGACGTGGATTCCTACATGACACGGGACGCTTGCTGCGTACACCAACTCATTGTCCAGAGCAAGGGCAGGGATTCCTCATGCCGGCTCTCTCCTCGCCAGGATTTCCTTCTGGCTTCCAGGAGCCAGGGCTTCCATTCCTCTCTCCCAAAGAGCAAGTTTGCTCTCACGGTCTGGAGTGTCCTTCTCCCTGTCCCGGCTGCTCTACTTTTGATTCAGCTCTCTTGTAATGGTCTGGGGAAGCGGCAGAAGATGGCCTAAGTGCTTGAGTTCCTACCGCCCACGTGGGAGACCCAGAATAGAGTTCTGGTTTTCTGGCTTCGGCCTGGCCCAGCCCTGGGCATTGCAGCCAAGTGAGGAAGTGAACCAGTCTCTTCCTCTCTGTCTGTAATTCTGACTTGCAAACAAATAAATCTCTTTTTAAAGAGTTTAGTACAAAGTTCAGTACTTAAACAGATTTCTAATCCCATTAGCTATACTGAGTATTTTCCATTTGTCCACACCCGCTATCCACCTTTCTCCATTCGGTGTAGCCCAGCAGGTTAACCTATAGGAACTATAAGAACAGGCTTCCATGTGTACTGCTATCTAATTGGGTCCACTTTATGGAGACAATGGCAAGAGGCTGGAGGGAGGGAGGAGAGTGAGGTCAGAGTGTTGGCCCCTTGGCCGTGCCTGCGCTGAGTCATGGCAAGTTGGCCATCTCCATCTAGGGAAGGCCACAACCCCAGGCAGGCAGCCCTCCTCTCTGGCTTGAGTAACTCCCTCTGCTTGCCCTTCAGGCCTGGAGTGGTAATGACTCCTGATTGCTCCTGGCTTCAAGGCCCTTTCACCATGCCTCTTGATTTTCCTAATCTCTGCCCACACATTTACAACTCTGATAGAATGTTCCAGCAGAAACATGCCATCAGTTTCCTGCCAAGACAAAGATTGAGGCCTTGCCCATGTTTTGCCACCCTTATTATTCCCTACTATCACCACTACATAGTTTTTATATTAGATTTAGTAACTATCCCAAACGCTTTCCAACAAGATCTAGCTGTTAATGACAGTGATTAGAAATTGGCTTTTTCATGCCTGGACAGCCTTGGGAAGGCATCTGTAACACAACAAATATAATTTAGAAATGAAAAATTTAGCTTCTACAAGATGAATAAAAAGCCTAGTAGTTAAAAAGTTAAAAAGCCTAATAGTAGTTTGATGAGAATTATTATCCTGATTATATAAATCTGTGTTTAAAATATAGCATCTAACAGGTACCTTTAGTCAAATTCTAGTCAAATATCTTACTTCGTGTTTAAAGTGTTTCAATATCTCAAGTAGGAATAGAAAGGAAAAGAAAACGATCTCTACATTTTGGCTAAGAGACTTTGGATGTTTCCCATTTTGTATGTGGCAGTGCAAAACAGATTTACTTTCTGCTTAAAAAAACCTTATCCCATCCTCTCGAAAGAAACATGCAAACGTTCCATACCCCCTGTTGTGCTGAATACTAACATCTATTTGTTACAATAGATGAAATATCATCCAGGTATTTTTAACGTCCCTGGGAAGGTGCTGTTTTATTTCGACTATTTCTTTACAGCAAAGCTATAACACAGAGTAATGACTATTTGACATCTGTTGAATAGCCCAGGACACAATTTGGCTCACAGTACTATTCCAATTTCTGGTCTTAGCAGGGAACAAGTTAAATGTCTCGCGGGTCTTTTTTGTGTCTTCTGTGTATCTGATACGTGCTTGGAATCAAGCCATTGAAGTAATAGAATTCCTCTATGAAACTGCACACCTGAGGAGAAGTGTTCATTCTAAATATTAGATCTTGAGTAAGACGGGTATCTTAACTCTCAAAATTTCTATCATTAGTGTCAAGAGCTACAAAGGGTTTGGAATTTCACTGTACTTGCAAGCTAACAAGTTAGCCTGGCATAGCTTTGCGGATCAGACAATATTACTCATCTTGTAGCAGTCCACTCGGGTTCCACATTCACTTCAGTTTTTCCTGTCCTGTCCACGGGAACAACACAGATTCTCCCAGGCCAGTTTCACACACTCAGTGGATTCACATGGTACCCAAGAAACCCTGAGCTTAAATAACCCTGGTCAGGTCATTTAAACCTGGATTATTTTGTCTATCTGAGAGGCAAGGCAGGGGGATAGATAGAGAGGAAATTCCCATCCCACTGCCCCCTGATGGTCACAACGCCTGGAATTTGGAACTTCATCCAGGTCTCCTTCATGAAGAACTCCATGACTTGAACCATCACCACTGCCCACCAGGGTCTTGTACTACCGAGACGCTGAAGTCAGGAGCCAGAGCTGGGAATTGAATCCAGCTCCTCTTACGGGAGATGCATTCTCCTGTAACTTAATTGCTAGGTCAGTGACCTCTCCAAACTTGAGGCTTTTGAAGGTAACTTGCTCAATCCAAGGCAGATACCATCTTTATTATCTGAAACAGCAAACAAACTTACCCTCTGCTTCCTCGGGAGGAACAGCTCTATTTTCAGGG